TTTCCTCCGGATTCTCAACTTTTTGTACGTTTCAAGTTCTGAATAGCTCTGTTAGGGTTGATGTGCGACTTTTCTATGTTGATTTTCGACAGTCTGTAACGACGCAATGCACGTCATCGCTGCACGGTGTGAATCAATATGCACATTGACCGCGCCAGCAGATTCGCGACAAAGGCTGTGGATTCGCGTTGTGGCGCTGCGAAAGGTTATCTGCTGGCACAGTGAAGCAGCAGACTATAACACTGCCGTGGTCCGGACATCTATGTTCTCTTACTCTAACTGTAACTCAGATGATGCAGCGTAACAGCCGCTATCTTTGGCCTTGACGTGCTAGTGCGATATGCTTATGCAGGGCATCGGCAGCTGCATCCCTTTTTGATAGGCTATACACTTCCCAAGGGGCAACAGCAAAAGAACAACCGACACATACTGTTATTTTCGAATATTTTCTGCCTCGTCAATCTAGGCTGCTGGATTTAGTAGCAAGAGTTCAATGCGCTCTTTCTGCTTTAAACCTTAATTTACAAATTTGTTGTTGTTAGACTAAATCAACGAAAATGTACTCAGCATGTGTTTAACAGCGAGGAACATTTTATAGAAAGAAAACACAGACAAAAGCTAAATTATAGTCTTTGAAACAACCGTATAAGGGTAAATGAATACTCTATGCTTTGAAATGATTTGTAACTGGTGTTCACAAACATTTTGAGGTTCTCTCAACTATGTAGGAGCATTATCTGCTATACACATTACTCTACATGAATCTATGATTAGTTCTCTTTCCATACGTTCCTCTCTTTCAAGATAACGCTAGTTTTCTGTGCTCTCAATGTCACACATCATATATGATACTCTTGATTGACGACAAGTTTTCAATTATTCCAAAAGTTTTTTTTTGGTTTTCATGATTGCGTATTTTCAGAATGGATTCTTCGAGTAAGGATCGCAATTGTGACGTGAAAACAAATGAAGAGGACCTTAGTAATACTCCTGGAAAAGTGAGTTCAAAAACTGACTCACAGTCCACAGAAGGTTTGCTTTCTTATAAAAGATAGATTTCACAATTCTTTTAATAAATATGGGAACATGCTATGGCTTTTCTTTCATTTGTTTTGCTAGAAGCGCTTGATTCCGAAGCTGCAGAGTTCTCTGTTCAAAATGAGCTGCAAGAAGATTCTCACATGACTGAAGCTCCCCCTGAAGAGGTTTGCTTGGCTTTTTTCTAATTCTATCGGTCTACTAGTTTTTCTAAAAGGTTACTTTCTAGACTAAGGAGGTCGGTATCTACTTTCGCCCTCGTTCGGAATCTCCAGACTTATGTCGATCCGGGGCTCGTGTCTGTGCTTTAAAAGCACAGTATGAAGGCCCATCAGACGAGCAACAACATCATGATACTGCTCCCGCTAGTCCAATGCACCGGTTGGTTATGAAAATTTTCTGCTGTTTGTGCTGTTGATGGAGTTTACAAGCTTATTTTAAAAAATACTGCTGTCATCTATCGGCACTTTAATAGTCTTTTCTAGTAGGCAGATAAAATCGCAATTCAAATCTTCTTACAGATTCGATTTCGCCTACGAAATCGAAGATTCTCGCGATGAAGTTCGCAGTGAAAGTGGTGGTGTGCGATCACGTGGACGTGGTACCCGTGGACGAGGAAGAGGTGGCATCAGGCCTTGTAGTGGAAGTGCCACCCCTCTCAACAACAGTTCGCTTGCGAATCCCGAGAAGAAGCGGGCAGGGTTGGTATTACAGATCTCCGTTGAATGGAAAGCTTAATGAATTAAAACACTGGGGTTGGAGGAAATTCAAAAAAAA